TGAAGATAAACAAGCAGCCATCTAGCTCAGAAGCAACAAAGCCCACTGGCCTGTGTGAAGCACACCAGCCTGTGTGGGCAGCTGATATCAGGGGCTAGAGTAGAAGGCAAATGTTTTGAGAATGATGAGGGCAGCGAATGTACATATGTGCTTGGCACAATGGATGGATTAATGGATTGTGATAAGAATTGTAGGAGCCCCCAATAAAATAATTTAAAAAAAAAGAAACATCAGCTAAATGGCAAATTCCAAAAATCTATAGAAAACTACAAAACCTTAATAAGAAAAATACAAATAGCCCAATCAGAATGTGCACATACATGAATAAATAACTTCCTAAAGATGACATCTACGTGGACAACAATCATATGAAGAAATGCTCACATTCATTAGGCATAAGAGAAATAAGAATTAAAACAACAAGTTATGACTTCATATTGACATTCCTAACAAAAAACTTTTTTAAAGAGAGAAAAAGAAAATAACAAATTCTGGATAGAATGTGGAAAGATTGAAATGGTCATACTTTGCTGGTGGGATTGCAGAATTCTACAACCACTATGGAAAACAGTATGGCCTTCCATAAACAAATGAAATACAAATAATTTATGAGCCTGAAATCTCTCTTTTTGGTATATATCCTAAAGAAATAAAGAACCAAACATGAACAAACATATGAATATTCATGTTTATTGCTGCCATTTCTATAATAGCAAAAAGATAAAGAATTTTTAAAAACTGTTTTCAGAGGATGGATATGCAAACTCTGGTACATGCATATGATGCAATATTGAACATCCTTCAAAAAATAATGATGAGTTTGTCATACACCTAATGACCTGGACATTATGTCCAGCAAAGTTAGTCGATCTCATAAAGATAAACATTTTATGACACCATTATTATAAAGGCAGGAGGGATAATAAAAATGTTTCTCATACCAAAAGAAGAGACTTAAAAAACTACAAAGAGGCCAGGACTAGGCAAGAGAGGGAGAGGAAAGGGGCAGGGAGAAGAGGATTAGGAGGATGTGGGAGTGGGGGCAAAAAAAAAGAAAAAGAATCACATATACAGGAGGGGTACTTGTTGGGCTGCTAATCTGCAAGGTCAGCAGTTTGAATCCACCAACCATTTTCCGGCCGAAAGAAGAGGCTTTCTATTCCTGTAAAGAATTACAGTCTCCGAAACCCATATAGAGGCAATCCTACCCTGTCCTATAAGGTCGCTATGAGTTGGAGTTGACTACTTGGCAGTCCTTGTTGGGTTTTTGTTTTGTTTTGTCGCTGTTTTGATGAGTTGGGCTGTGCAAATACATAGAATATGTTTTTCTTTGTATGTTATATTCCACAAATAAAGGTGGGTGCACGTTAAGAGAAGGGTCACAGCCTTAAAAACCCTTAATATTATTTTTTTTAACCCATCATATCTAAACCCTGGTATGAGTAGTTATAAAAGGAAAGTAACATTGAAAGTGATTTACACTCCTTTGTGACACGCAAGTTAGTTCAAATTAAGTCTATAAACTTCTTTGTGGCAGTTCTACTTTGGCATGGGGTCACGGAGTTGAAACCGATTCCACAGCATCTAGCAACAAAACATGAAAAAAGATTGATACACAAGTAAACAATCTGTAAATGTTGGTTGCTGCTATCATCAGTAACATTTACCATATTAAGTCAAAATAATGTTTTTGTGGCCATGAGTACCTGTCCTTGACCTTACCCTCAATCTCTGCACTTTCTTTGCCAGATTCGCTGGCACACTATGGGAGTGGACAATTTGGAAGGGTAATCCTGGAACAATTTTCCAGGGGATTACGGATGGGAGGGTGCCTGAGACCCACCCTCAACCCAATTTGCTCCGCCCGTATACGTGACCACACCCACCCAGTTTAAGAGCCCGAGAGAACCATTGCCTAGTAGCTCCTGTTAGCAGTCACCAGAGGGAGCCACCAAAGGCAGAAGGAGAACAGGACATGCCCGAGCACGCCTTAGTCTTCCTGCGCTATGGCCCATACAGCGCTGCTGGCTTGTCAGTGGAACACCGCTCCTTCCGCCTGCAGGGCCTGCAAGGTGGGCACGGTAGAGCTTGTGGGCTTCTCCTGCTGAGTGTTCCTCTGAGCACTGGCATCATCTATGCTCCTTGCCTTCATCTTCTTTGTCCTCAGACGCAGCTCAAATGTTACCTCCTTCAGAAAGACTTTCCTGAGCCTACTCCCTGCAGGGTGGTTTGTATCTTCCTCCAAGCTTCCACTGCTTCATTATGAGAGTGGAGCAAGCTTGAGTAGGAAGCATTATAAAACTCCTGTTTTTACAAATCAGGGCAGTGAGGATACAGTGGCTGGTAAATGGTAGGGCTGAGGTTCCATCCCTTGATCGCTCATTTATCCAAGGAGCTTTATTGAGAGTCTAGTATGTGTTGAGCACTCTCCCAGATACTGAAACTATATTGGTGTGAAAGGATGTGTGTCATTGAGGTGACCTTCACATTATTACATCACACTTATGTCAAGGTGCTAACAGAGAGTAGAGTGTGCCATGGGAATGCAATCAAAATGGAAACTGTGAGTTGGAGAACAGATCGATCTGGAAAGGAAATCGCAGATTGATTTAAAGAATAAGCAGAAAATAAACAGGTAGAGGGAAGAAAGAGCATTCCAAGCAAAACAATTACTAGCTGCACAGGTTGGAATCATGAACAGGTGATGAATGTTGAACTCGTGGGGAAAGTGATCCAGGATGAGTCTGGAGAGGTGAACATGGACCAGATCATACAAGACCTTGGGTCACAAAAGAGTTTTACACAGAGGACAACAATGTGGCTGCTGTGAAGAGAACAGATTGAGGGACACCAAAAGTGGTTGCTTAAAGACAAGTTGGGGGTTCCTGAGGTGTTTCAGGGGAAACAATAGTGGTTTTCTCTGATAGGAGTAATATGAGAGCAAAGTGTCTGACTTGCATGAGTGTTTATCAAAATAGGCACCCTCTACTAAAGCTCTTAACGCTGAAAATGAAACCCAATTTGGAGGAATACCTTCCATTTTGAATATATTAATTGGCCTGTGCTATCGGTTACTTCGATTGAAGTTCTGAGTTAGCTCTGCAGGGCTGGAGTTCAGAAGAAAATCTGAGTTGGAAAAAGATGGAAGTCATTCACTTGGGGAGAACATACAACCTGCAAAGAGAACCCAGGACATGAGCCAAGCCCAGGGTCTTCCAGATAAAATGCTGTGGCCATGCAGAGGAGATACCAGTTCTAGCCTGGCAGTGGTAAAGGGGCTGTGGAAGAGGTGGCATTGAGTTTGGAAGGCTGGGTAAGATTTCAATCAGCAGAGAAGATGGTTTTGCGCTATCAGTGGATTTAGTCAATTCACTAATTTTCTCAGCAAGTATAGTCTATTAAGACAAATCTGCTGTCAATAAACAAGAAAAGAAACAAAGCTCACTGCCCTTCAGCCAACTCTGACTAATAGTGACCCTATAGACAGGAGTAGACAGGCTCATCATTTTCTCATGGAACAGCTCAGCGGTGTAAGCTTGTGAATTAGCAGCTCAATGCTTATCCCACAACTTTCAATTGTGAAGAACGCAGTATAAAGTTAGAAAAGAGGAAACACCAAAGACGCCATTGCAGTAGAGTAGATTCTGACTTAGAGTGGTCTCATATGTGACAGAATAAAGCCGCTCCATAGGTTTTCATCGGCTGTAATATTTACAAAAACAGATTGCCAAGGCCTTTTTATGTTGTGCCACTGGATGAGTGACAACTGCCAACCTTTAGCTTAGCTGTCAAATGTAAACCATTTGAAACACCAAGAGACACTTAAAATGTGTTATAGTCTTGGCATTAGGATACAAGCTAAATAATGGACTTTCTTTTCCTCTCCCTCTGACAAGGCCCCACCCACTGCACCTCTACCTCATAAAGGATTTTTAGTTGATGTTCACTGAATGAAGAGGCTTAATAATAACTACAGCAATTCTCTACTAGAAAAGTATATCTAACACCAAACCAAACCAACACACTGCCACCATGTCCCTTCCCAGAAAGGTTTATTAAAGAGGTCTCTGATTCTTCTTCTTGCTTCTTCCTGTGCCCAAAGTTTGACTTTTGCAGACACCTTTAAATTATCTTTACTGCTGCCATAGTCAGCTTAACTGTAGAATTCCAATTAGATCATCTCCATGCCAAAATTTAAGCTAAAACAGAATGTACAGATTAAAAGTCATATATACTTTTTAATCCAGCAGTTCTCAACTTATGGGTTGCGACCCCTTTGGGGGTCGAACAACCCTTTCAGAGGGGTTGCCTGATTCATAACACTAGCAAAATTACAGTTAGGAAGTAGCAACAAAAATAATTTTTTGTTTGGGGGTGGGGGTCTCCACAACATGAGGAACTGCATTAAAGGGTCACGGCATTAGGAAGGCTGAGAACCACTGTTTTAATCTAACTTCTACAACTACGATTACGGGAAAACCTATCTACCTGGTCTGTCACCAAACCTGTTGGTTTTCACTTTTTATTGTGAATTGAGTGAAGGCCTACGGAGAAGACCATCAATTTCACATTCAATAACTCACATAATTTTGTTCCAATTCATTCACTGTAATAACTCCAATGTACCTTCACAAAGCCCACTTTCTCGCTGAGGGTTTTCATTCCTCCTTCTGTCCTAGCCTGTCTGAACTTCGTTCTTGAGTAAATGCTGCTCGTGGTAGTTAGGTTTTATGTCATCATGTCTCTGCCAGGATTCTCAGAAATTTGACAATTGAGTCTGCCCTCCCCCCTCAGTAATGTGATCTAATAATGTAATCAACTTCATAATGGGATTTGCTGTGAGCAGGCAAGCAATTGTGAAAAGATTAGGGTAGAGTGCTACCTCATAAATCAGGTAACAGGCCTGTTACAATAGAAAAGCTGTTTCCTTGTGGGTGTGGCCTACTACCAAGTAGACTCTGTGGGAAGACCTATTTTCTTGCTGACGTAGATCCTACAACTATCACATTGACCTCTAGTTATTTAAACTTGAGCAAATGGTCCTCCAGATTTCCTGCCAACACTGGAAGCTATCAGCAGCATGCCATATTGCCTGCTGAAACTAGATTCATCTACCTCTACCTCCAGCAGCCTGTGATCTCCTGGATTCCTGGTTCATTTTTCTGCTTCTTGGTGTGTCAGTAATGGCAACTATGTGAGTCAGGAAACACCTCCAGTTTAACATCTGACCCATGGACTTAAATAGGCCTGGACTTACCCACTTCTACAACTGTGTAAGCCACCTTCTTGATATAAATCTGCCTTTATGTTCATTGATTTTGCTTTTCTAGAGAATCCAGCCTAACATATTTGGTACAAGGAGTGGTTTTAGAACAAGGCTGGGAACCTTTTTTTCTTTGAAGGACCATTTGGACATTTATAACATCATTCATGGGCCATACTGGTCAAGCATTGTGATGGTGAGAACTGCTTTTCGTCGGTGAGGCATGAAGTGTGTTAACTGATAATCATGATGTAGGTGCCTTATTTTGCTTAGAAGGAGAAATATCCAGAGGTAACACTGTGAGTTAGTTAATTGTGCCAGCCTGGCCGATAATCACATGTGGGGCTAATTGAAAGGTGGAGGGATAAATGGGTGGTGAGCCTCGCCTTTCTAGTTCTCGGGTCTCTTG